CGCGTATTTTTGTTGACGGTTGTGGTAATTCTCCAAGTTCCAGCTCCTCGAAATGGACCTTTCTGGGAGTTCGCACTGGACACTCTGAGTTCATTATTCGCTGACAAACATTTGTTTTGAATTTCATATGTTAATCAACTGCCTTAATGCTGTCCTTGCATTGCGAATCCTCGGCTTTACGTCAGTATCAGATCTTCCATGTTCATCGATCATGTTATTCAGTTGGATGAAACGTCCCGTCTTTTTCCAGAGTTTTTCTATCAGTTGTTATTGTGTTGGAATTCTGTGTGGTGAATTTCATGTTCATGCATTCTCCTTTCTGTATGTTAGGGCTTACGTGTACAGAGGCTGTTGCTTCACTAGTTGTCTTTATCTGAATTTCTTGGTGAGTATGGCATAGAAGGGAGAGGTCGTCTACCAAGTACAAATCTTCCGATTGATTCCTAGTTGTACATTTTACTCCGTGCTTTCCCTCAGATGTTGAGATCTTCATAATACAGCCAGCAACCAGAAGGAAGAAGAAGGGTAGTGTGACTAGCTTTCTTTGTCTCCAGTCCTCAATTGAAATGTATCTGTGAGCTGTCTTTCATGCACCACTATGCAATGTAGCCCGTCGTATGAATTCCGTATGATGTGCATGATCTTCTCAGCCACTCACTACATAATGTCGAGTAAGGTTCCATAAAGCTGTTTTACTCACGCCATCAAACGCTTTCGCTTGCGGGGTAAGTTGATGTGTAGTGACGAGTTTCATGTAACTGGTTGTTTAACGATGATCCGTAATGTCGCGACTTGGTTTATACGCCACCGACCAATATGGAATTCGGTCTCTTAAACTCAATGTTGGGCGTCGACTGAATCATTCGTACGGTTCAACAACACTCTGTTGAATATGTTTCCCGGTACTGACAGTAAAGTGGTGCCAAGCTAGTTCTCACATTTTCACAGATCATTCTTCTGCAAAATGGAATTCGGTCCCTTAACCTCAATGTTGGGCGTCGACTGGATATTGCACTTCTTATAAAGCTGCTTACAATCTCTATGAAATCAGGTACTTACTCTTACTATCGGAAAACAGCGTAAATCATATCACGTTACAAGTATGGAGATAAGACTGACATGAACAATTATCGGCCCATAAGTTTTACAGCCGTCGTATCTAGAATTATAGAAAAAATTGCTATTTCTGAACTCCCCGACTGTGTACTCCCTGGAAGATTTGTTATTGATTCCCAACGTTGATTTCTAAAAAAATCAATCTTGTGTGACATATTACTTTGGCTTCATTAGTTTAGTCTATTCTCTGCATAATCAAGGAGTTCTAGTCTTAGTGCTATACCTGAACGTACCCAAAGCCTTTGATATGGTTAATCACCAACTTCTTGTGGATAAGCTCACATCCTACTGGGTCCAACACCCTCTGCTTGCTTGGTTTGGTTCCTTCCTCGATAACCGTCATGAAGTTGTTAAAATTAACTATTCATTGTCGAACGCTGTCCTTATTAGAAGTGGTGTGATATAAGGTTGTGTCTTAGGTCCTTTTCTCTTTTCACTTTTCCCAAATGATGTTTGTGAATGCTTCTGCATGGGTGAGCCTTTTCTGTATGCGGATGATCTTTAAGTAGCTTATTCTTTCTGTCCTCATGAGCCAAACAATGTGCTAAATTGCATCATCATGAAGCTTAACAAGTTGCTCGAAATGGCAACTGGGGCTTATAACAACTAAAATATGTATGAATATGTTTCGGTAATGCATCATTCAACTTAGATCTGACCACAAATGTTGTGGTGTTATCTCAGTTACATAGAGTATTAGACTGGTGACTTAGGTACTTCTATGATTCGTCGTTTACAGAACAGGTATTGAAACACAAGTCCAAGTGTCAACGTCTAATAGGTTGCACACCTCGAAACCGTTGTTACAATGAGTCACGTATTTTAATGTGCAAAGTTTGTGTTCCACCACTCCTAGAATACTCCACGTTTATTCTAAGGAGTGTGTGCCCCAAGAAAAATTTAAGGTTGGAATCAGTTCAGAGACGATTTAAAATTTGGATTTTTGGAAATGACTGTACCCTGACGTATAACTCGGAATGTAATAAATTTGCACTCGACACTTGATGGAAGAGGACACTCAAACTAAATCTCATCGTTTTCTTGAAAATGATTGACAAACTATCCTTTATATTTGATCAAGTAAGTCTATTTGTAGAAACGTCTAATTTCGACATCCGTAGCGCCTTGCCACTTGTGAAACAAACCCATTCCAAATCGTCCATCTTTATGAATTACTTTACCTGTACATTTACTAGACTCTGGAATGATCTACCATAATCTATCCGTAAGATAGAATCACTCACATCCTCTGTTCTCTTCATTGGTACACACTGCTCCTCCGAAAATACATTAAATGTTCTAGTATGTGTAAGTGTATTTTATTGCACAAGTGAAAATGTAGGAATCTTAAATGTTCAGCCATTCCTGCTACTAAATTCACTAAGTGAGATGACTTAACTGTTGTTATTTTACGTTAACTCCGTCCCTGGCCACCCTAACTAGTTTGAATAATATCTAAGATGAACAGCATATCACTGAGTCACATGGCAAGTGCAATATGGTTGACCTGATTAATATATTTTAGTAATTCTTGTTTTGCTGTTCCATGCTCTCTGTTTCTGTTTTAGTTTCTCTAGTTGCAGATGATTATAATAATTTTGTTTTTGCACAGAAAATGACCTTCAGTGCACCATTCATTAATCAACAGTATGTGCACTTAGAAAGAATGAAAAGTTGCCGACCGATGCGGTGCATTTCTGAACTACATCTTATAAGTGTACTACCTAAACAATTTTTGAACTAGTAAACTTAAAAGAATCTTAAATCACATGTTTATTCTCTACATTTTATGTTACAATTTATATCAGGCCGAGGATGACTTTAAAATGGCGTGAATTCTGTAAATATAAATTTCAGATTATATGTATAATCATCTTATAAACCTTGACTTGGGGAACTGAAATAGTGAATTTCGCAACAATCGAGAAAGTAGGAAAGGTGAATGTGTTATTCAAAAGGAAATTGTGTGTTTAATGAAATCAAGTTGATTATTAACGCATTCACGGCAGTTTTTCAAAATGTTTGTGCACTTTTGAATACATTCCTCAGGGAAGATTTGTAATGCGCTTGCTTGTCATTGGTGTGAGGTATGAACAGAATTAAAAGCAAGAATAGTCGTATATGTGGTCCGTGCTTGAAAAGTCGTTACCCTTTCCCTTCTTTCACACAAGGTAGTAGACGTAGTAGTAGTAGTACTATTAGTAGTGGTATCAGTTGCAATATATTTTATACAAATCTGAAGTGATACATTTATTTGCAAACATCTCATTACCATCACCAACAAACTCTCGACTGATAAACTACCGATTCATCCTCTCCTCCCCCCACTTACACATACGTCAAAACAGAACAGTACAACTCAATCGGTATACGAAACAGTCGAGCAAACGGAAAGTCAACTAGTGCATTTAATGATAATCGAATCTTACCAAAGTACCCACAACCAAAAGCACATTTCGGACGAACGAATCTGGATTGTGATTAGTGAGAATTGGACTTGAGATATCAATAATGCAATCACCGGTAATCTGAAGTTGTTGACACAGCTTTCTTTAAGTTGTTTATGTTATTTCGAAAGTTAAGCAAATAAAGTTGACCGTTCGAAAGTACAAATATTGTAGTAATGAAACAGTAAGCAACTAAAACATACATATTTAATTTGGTTTATACAAACTATAATGCTATACGAGTTAAATTGTATAAATACTACAGAGTCCGAAAGGCTACAATAAGCATGGCTATACTCTCTATATCGACTGGCTTTTTGTTTGAGATATTTTAAGTGGAACAGATAGCAAGTGGATCAACAATTATTTTATGGTCACTACCCTAAAAATCTTTGCATGCTTGTAATGATGATGAATTAATGTTTCTGCAGAATACAAGATGAAGTACATTCCCTGTCTAGTTTGAGAGTGAATACACGGTGACCAGCAGCACATATTGATCGTTGCTGAAAAAGCATCATCACTTGAATGACCACAACTGGTAATCCAGGGTGTACCGCCTGTTGCCGATCGACTCATCAACTCCGCGTTACACTCACAACAATAGCGCTCAGAATTCTGAGCGTCTGATCTTCGAGGCATTTCGTTCACACTGTAACAGTTAACATGCTAATTAATATGGATTCATTTTACATCGTGGCGAAAAATCTATTGGATCATTACATTTTGATCAGTCATGCTGCAACTTACATTCATTCAGCCATGACATATTCTTCACACAAACCTCCAATTGTGGCAATAAAACAACCTAATTTTGATCGTTCATTGATTATTCTCAGCAATGACCTCCATTCTTCCAAGTCAACATCACCTGATCAGACACATAGAGTAAACTAAGTTGATTGATCTCCAGATGCTGGATATACATAATCATAATGTCACTCTGTTGAAATTGTGCTCTCCATCGTTATCGATAAGAAAGCCTAAGACTGTCCCTTCATCCCCCATTCTCATCACCAGTCTTCGTACTTCCAAGTGAACATGACCTGATCATACACATCAAGTAGGCTGTGGTGATCGATCGCCAAATGCTGGATATACACACTCATTACGTCACCCTGTTGATATTGTGCTCTCCATCGTTATCCAACGGTGTATAACATACAAACTACCAATCCGCTAACGTATTGTGGCCGTATGTACATTCTGCGTTCAATGCATAAACAAATTATGACCAATCACAAACGTGTGTGTCAACGTGTTATTGTCTGTGTGATTTGGACAGTATGAGTATATATGCGTCGATGTGATAGTTGATTTTATATTTTATTGTAGTCGAGGAAGAGAGCCACCAATTTTCTTCATCTGACGTGAGAACAATCGGTCTGACAATGAGATATATCAAGATGCTCATCATGATGCTTATGGTGCACATTGCAATGATCCAGTTCGTTGAGTCAGCTGTTGATACCTTCAATGGCGAGAAAAGTAAGTAGACATCTTTATATCAGCTTGCCATGATAGTAAGCTAGTAACTACTGATACATAGCTAAATAACGATTTCTTTCTTATTGCACCTACAGAAACAAAGAAGGAAAATGAAAGAATGGATTCGACAGATTTAAAAGAGGAAAAAGATGGAGCACTTTATGCTAATGCCCCTCAAATAGGTCCCGAAGTTGATGATCATCGTCCAAATCCTGATGACCCTCGTCTGCGCATTGAACCTCCCAGTGGTGTCGGCATTCCTCAACCTCCAGTACCTCACGGTCGTCGTCGGAAAACTGGCGGCATTCCTCAACCTCCCGTATTTCACAGTCGTCGTCTGAAAACTGGCGGCATTCCTCAACCTCCCGTATCTTACCGTCATCTCCCAAATGCGTGAGATACATACAAAACCTCCTGATGTTGACGGCAAATGTGAAACGAGCAAATGAACACTCTGTTTATTTAAAGTTTACTTCTCAACATCAATATCTTAGTCGATGATGATCTGAAGAAGATTTCTATTCCATTTTATTTTTTTTTAAATAATTCGTTTTAAATAATAGTTTAATAAAGATATTTGTTATAAAATGTGAAAATTTTTTTCTTCATTCGTCGTTGTTTTGGATGAGTCAATAATTGATGGCTTAATAATTAGGTTTGATTAGAAATGATGCACAGATTGACCGTTTCATAGTAGCAAAAATCTAGACTCAACAAGCATACATCCTCAATTTTATTTATACACAGCACATCATCGTCTGAATTATCGATTACGATTGACCGATTACAAGAAGTGTTAGGGTGATGTAAGCATTGTTCACTGCAGTAGTGAGCGAGCTGAGCAGTGTATGAGTCCCACATTTTAAGTTAGACGTAACGTTCTTTGAGAAAGATATTTACAGTGTTGACGTTATGAATGAGTAGAAATCCCCTCCGACGTCGAAGAAACAAATGTTCGTTTGAGTATGTTTTTCGTGTCAACGAGTTCCACTAGCAGAAAATAGCGATTATCGTAGTGTCTCGAATCCTTAAACACGTGTGCCAAGATAACTGATTGTGACTGATAATACGCATAAAGTTGAGTTGAATGATAACACACATTGCAGTGTAAACTAATAAACCATGATGCCATTTTTACTGAAGAGTAGCCATTTTGAAAAATATGACTGGAGAAGTTCGTAAGCATATCCACATGACCACGAGGCCTTGTTGCTTTCATGAAAATATGTGAAGATGAAGGCTAGAATTACTCCGCTCAAATCTGTTCGAGGTGTTGGTTATCCTTGACAATGCACCCTTACACCGCTAATCACTCAAATTTTGCTTGGACCGAATCATTGTGATATGCCAGTCACTTCATTCTTTGCGATGGCACTTAATCAGGGTCATTACAGGTGTAAGAGGTGAGTTAGCAAGTTAGTGAACGTGAAGAAAACAATGATTGAAAAAGTAATTCTGATGACCTAAAAGCGGTTAATAATCTCTCAAGCGGAACTTTAAATTAATACAAAATCAATCTACTTGAGAGTAATCTGAATTTCAATTTACACATCAAATCAATTGACACTGTGGAAATCTCCCTGATTTTCTAACTTCGACTATAGGAAATACAAGGAAAACGGTTTCATCCAATACGTTGAAATACTGCTTACGAAGTCTTTTACGATTATCATAATCAGTAGACTTGCAGCACAAATAATAGATTTCTGAGTTCGTACCAGAACTAAAAGGCTACATCTTCTTTAACAGACTTCAATGATGCAAACCGATTCGTGTTCAACTAATAAATGTACACATATCACATATCTTCATGACTAACCAATCAAATAGCTGTTTAAGCTCTCATCACGTTAATCTGGCCTGATATATCATTTAACTATCCTTGTTGCAAGTGGCTCATCAATTAAAATTCATTATTGTTCTAATCTATTTGTTCCTGCGTTTAGAAACAGATAACTGATGACAGATAGCTTTCACATAGACCCTGGGATGGGCATTATCGCGTTTACAGTTCTAGTAGTATATATGTAGAAAACATCTGACTACCTTGATTGAGAAAGATACTTGGTTGTATGAAACTTGATTCCTACACGATGTTCCTGTTGACTAAAATATCATTTCTTTCACAGATAAACTCGTAAATGTGGATCGATATTCTCCTTAGACGATCTCACCTGGATTGCATTCATCGAAAAACTATCCATCTAATTTTGACTGTGAACATATGTGCTGGTTATGAAGAGCAGTGAAATGGGACAGGATGGGTTGTCTAGTAATCTGATGTATCTATGGTGTGCACGAGTGGTGAAAGGTTTGTTGTTTTGCTTCACTCTCCAACCAGTTTAACTGGAATAATAACAATATGAACCTTGACGCTGCCCCCCAGAATTTAACATACAGCACCGCGAGCGGTAAATTTAAACAAATTTATTAAAGGAATAATGCCGTGGATTCTTTGTCATTACATGCTGGTTGTTTAACGTCACTCGACAGAACGAAGATCACCCTAAATATCTGCAAACCACAGCGAAGTATTCTCAGCTAAATGAAAGTCAGAAGAAAATACACATTTTATTTTACTCTGCTACTCAATTGACAAATGTATTAATAGAAGTGTAACTGGAATGTTTGAACTATGAGAAATGTCTGAACGACTAATGAGCTGATCGATTTTATGAGAGAAAGAGAAATATTGTCTTGCTAATAATCATGAGATTGGCAGACCACTCCGCAACTGTGTGCGATTTGATGGTATAGTGTGTATTGATTATTTTCATAGTCAATATGACCTAATTCAACATTCATTGTACCTGTCTACTAAACTCGCTTCATCGTTAATGAGATGTCATTGTAAATAATAGTATACTGGTATCCATTTGTGAATAACATTTTTGTATTGACCACGATTGTAGTTCCAGTGAATATCGGTGACGTGATATGATGAGATCTGTGCACTAACTGATCACGTTCCCATTATGCATTGGAATGTAATGTTTCAGATCATGGAGTTCAAATGGATTCTCGTCTGAACTCAGAAGTCCGTGATCCAATGTATGGATGAGAAGCTATTACGGACTTTGTCTAGACTGATCACAGTATGTTTCTCTGTTTCATTCAGCAGGATAACATTATAGTGCGCTTGCTTTAAATGAGATAAGAAGGGACCGTCAAAAACATAGCATGGGTTTTTGTAAGAAGTTATTATTCAGAAATCATTAGTTCAGACCCTTCGAAAGGAATGATATTTTATCAGAAAACAAAATAAAGTTGTTTTGACGAATATTGAAAAACGTGATATCCTTTCATTAAACAGATCTCAACCCTTTGCAATATTTAAGGCAGAAAAAACAAAAAGGTAGCAAGTGACAGAAGTCGAGCAAGAACGGAGATAGTCAGGTAGGATACACGGAAGTAAACAAGCAAGTGAAGAAGAGCATCAGGACAGACAATAAGAATGATGTAAAAGAGCTAGCTACGACAGTGGAAAGTGCTGCAACAAAAGGAGACTGATGTATCACACAACGAAACAACTGAGAAATATGGTAAACCAGAGTGGTCAGTCAAGGACAAAGAAGGCAAGACAATCACTAGAATTCAAGGACAGAGGAAAAGGTGAGTGAAACACCTCATTTTAAATGATAAATTCTGCGTGATGAGTACAAACGATGAAAATATAGTGTTATCGATATCTTCAGTCACACCCAGTAAAGAATTCCATCGCTCAATATAACTAATCGCAAAGTAACAATTACTACTGAATATAACTCATGTGAGATCAGAGAATTGAGTTCAAAAATACATTTCGAAACTCAGGATTCCATCAGAATCGATACAGAATACATCAATGTCATCCCTGTAGATTGTCTGTTGACGATTGTCAACATGTATCGATATCAAGAAACAGACACTATGATGTATGACAGTGCTGAAATATCGACAGCGTGATTACAAAACAGATCAGAATGCTAATCGTAGTTCGGCATTCTAGTCAGTCAAAAAGTAAATGATATATAGAAATGAACTGTATTTGCTAACCAAACAGAAAAATCGGAAGCGATTACGAGTTCAATAATTAAATTGTAAAGGAAATACAACTAAAATGAGTGTTCGGATAATCAGTGACAGTAAACTATCTAACTACAAGTAATCAAATCACGCTTCAGCAAAATAAGCTGTTCGAAGCTGCAAGTAGGGAAATGTTCGAAATTAATTTCCATCCGTAGTTTGTATTGACATTTACAAAGAAAACGTCAGGTTCACATTGAACCATCCATCACACTCTACTCTGTTTCAATAACATCACTCTTTCGTGCTACATATTTATTTGACAATTAAAAATGAATTTCCAACCACATAAATAACAACAAAATAAACATCTCCAAATCTGAACCCAACTACTGAGTATTAGTAAGTAATATAATGCCTTCAGTAAGATATAAGATGAGACGAGATGAAGTGAAATATATATAACTGCATACCTAGTGAGTAGATGTCACTAGTATGTAATTCCGTCCGACCTACAACACTTGTTCATAACCGTCTTGTGCTCATTAGTGACTAGATTCAAGATAGATTTCCTGGAATTCTAGTGAGAATCCGCGACAAGTCGATTTCTATGTGTGTCGGGTGTGAGATAGTTATCGATTTTATGCGCCAAATAAGAACCTAACAAAAGAAAATGAATTCATATTATTCTGCATCGGTCTTCGTTCTCTGTGTGTGCTTTTATGCTTTGTGATGCAACTTGTACAAGCAGACTGCATACAGCAGCAACTCAGGATGATATGAGTTCAGCAGGTTTGGTGAATGTTGCCTATCAACTTTAGTCTCTTAACTGCTGGAATATATTCCCGTACAAACGTATACACAGACCTACATGTGTCACACCGAATCACATAGCAGAGAACCATATAGATTATATCTGGATCATCAAATAATTCAGAATATCAATGTAAGACGTGGGGATCGGGATAGCTTCTGACGTAGCTCGAGAAACTGAAGGTTGAAAATCCTTGGACAACTTTGGAAACAGCAGTAAAATGTTTCAATGCAGACTACCTTCGACATGAGGACATACTCAATTAATTCAATATAGCTCTCAGAAATAGGTTGTAAGCTCTACAATATCTACTGTGAGGAGGAGAAGCTAAAATGAAGTACAACTGGAAAAGTGTTAAAGAAGCACTAACCTCAACGTGTAAGTACTTGATGGGCGACAAGATCCATCATCACAAGAAATGAAGTGAAATAATCGTAAAAATTGTAGGATAATGAACAGATGATATGTGGTTTACAGGGCATAAGGACTGTAAGCTGATCGAAAAATATGAACGAACGGCTTAGGGTTTCAAAACCCGTGAGTAAAATGATGGATAGGTGGAAAAATATAATATATGAACTCTGGAAACAACTTCTGAACCAATAAAATTGGTATGACATTAACTACAAGAAACTTACAAATATTTGCGATATTCTGAGCTTCTTATAATTGACCATAATCGACTAGCACTTATA